GTTCTCAATTTTTCACTGGTTTCGTTTTAGGATTTTCCAGTTTTTCCTTCTTCAGTGTTTCGATTTTTCAATTTTTAGATTTTTCCAATTTCTCGATTTTTTTTTTTATACTTTGATTTCTCAGTTTTACGATTTTTAATGCTTCTAAATTTTCAATTTTTCGATTTCTCGACTTTTTCATTACTCGATTTTTTTATTATTCAGTTTCTGATTGGTCAATCAATTTTCCAATTTTTGGATTTTTCAGGATTTTGATTTTTCAATTTTTCGATGGTTCAGTTATTGGATTTTTAATTTTTCTATTCTTCAATTTTTCTTCGATTTTTCAAATTATCGATCTCTCAGTTTTTTGACATTTCAGTTTCGGGATTTTTCAGTTATTTCTTCAATTTTTCGATTTTTCAATTTTTCGATTTCAAATTTTTCATTTACTCGATTCTTCGATATTTCAGTTTGAGATTTTTCAATTTTTGGACTTAAATTTTCGATTTCTCGATTTTTTTCATTTTTTGATTCCCCAATTTTCCGATGTTACGATTTTAAGATTTTTCGATTCTTCAATTTTTTGATTTTTAAATTTTCGATTCCCAGACTTCAATTTTTCGATTTTCCGATTTCTCAGTTTTTTGATGATTCAGTTTTAGAATTTCCCAGCTTTTTCTTCTTCAATTTTTCGACTTTTCAATTTATTGATTTCCAATTTTTCATTTACTCAATATCAGTGTTTTGATTTTTCAATTTTTGGATTTTTAAAATTTTTCGATACTTCAAATTTTCGATTTCTAGATTTTTTTCATTTTTTGTTTTCTCATTTATACGATTTCTCAATTCTTCAATTTTTTTATTTAAAATTTTTTCAAATTTTCGATTTTTGATGTTTCTAAATTTTTAATTTTTCGATTTCTCGACTTCTTAAGCAATCGATTTTTTGATTTTTCAGGATTTTGATTTTTCAATTTTTCGATTTTTTAATTTTGGTTTTTCGTTCTATTTTGTCGATTTTAGAATTTCTCAATTTTTCGATGGTTCAGTTATGGGATTTTTCAATTTTTCCCTTCATTTTTTTTTGGATCTTTCAAATTTTCGATCTCTCAGTTTTTTGATACTCAATACTTTGACATTTCAATGTTCTGATTTTTCAATTTTTGTATTTTTTGAATTTCTCGATACAATTTTTTAACTTTAAAATTTCTAATTTTTGAAGTTTCTAAATTTTCAATTTAGATTTCTCGACTTCTTGATTTTTCGGCTTTCCGATTTCTAATTTTTCGATGGTTCAGTCTTGAGATTTTTCATGGATTTTTCAAATTTTTGATTCTTCAATTATTTGATTTCTCGACTTCACGATTTTTTACTTTTTCGACTCAATTTTTCTATTTTTAAATTTTATATTTTAAAGTTTTTCGATTTGTGGATATTTCGATTTTTCGATTTTTCAATTTTTCGATATTTTAATTTTTCAGTTTTTCAAATTTTCGATTTTTTGATTTCCCAATTTTTCGGTTTTTTGATGTTTCGATTTCTGGGTCTTTTGATTTTTCGATTTCTCAGCTTTTCAATTTTTCCATTTCTAAATTTTTTGATTTTTCTATTTTTGACTTTTCAATTTCGCGATTTTATTTTTAATTTTTCGATTTCTCAATTTCCCGATGTTTCAGTATTACGATTTTTCGATTCTTCTCTTTTTTGACTATTAAATTTTTCAAGTTTATAATTTTTGACGTTTCTAAGTTTTCAAGTTTTACGATTTTTCAACTTCTCGATTTCTCGATTTTTCGATTTTGCAGTTTTTCAATTATTCAATTTATCGATTTCTCGATTTTTTCATTTTTTTACTTCTCAGTTTTCTGATGTTTGAGTTTTACGATTTTTCGATTTAATTTTTCGATTTTAAAATTTTTCAAATTTCGATTTTTGATGATTCTAAATTTTCAATTTTTCGATTTTTCGACATTTTGACCTCTCGAACTTGTGATTTTTCAGTTTTTCAATTATTCAATTTATCGATTTTTCAATTTTTGGATTTTAATTTTTCTATTTGTCGATTTTTTAAATTTTCGATTTTTCGACTTTCCGATTTCTCAATTTTTCGATAATTCTGTTTAGGCATTTTTCAATTTTTCCATTGCTCTTTTTTTCTTGTATTTCTGAATCTTTGATTTCTCAGTGTTTTGAAATTTCAGTTTGGATTTTTTCAATTTCTCGATACGTCAAATTTTCGATTTCTCAATTTTCTGATGTTTCGGTTTTACGAATTTTCGATTCTTCAATTTTTTAATTTTCAAATTTTTTAATTTTTCAGTTTTTCAGTTATTCATCGATTTTTCAGGATTTTGATTTCTCAATTTTTCGATGTTTCAGTTTTACGATTTTTGACGATTCTAAATTTTCAATTTTTCGATTTTTCGACATTTTGACCTCTCGAACTTGTGCTTTTTCAGTTTTTCAATTATTCAATTTGTCGATTTTTTAATTTTCGATTTTTCGACTTTCCGATTTCTCAATTTTTCGATAATTCAGTTTTGGCATTTTTCAATTTTTCCATTGTTCAATTTTCCTTCCATTTTTCGAATTTTCGACTTCTCTGTGTTTTGATATTTCAGTTTTGGAATTTTCCAGCTTATTCTTCTTCAATTTTTTGATTTCTCGATTTTTTCATTTTTTTCTGATGTTTCGGTTTTACGAATTTTCGATTCTTGGATTTTTTAATTTTCAAGATTTTTAAAATTTCAATTTCAATCTTTTGATTTCTCCATTTCCTGATTTTTTCATTTTTCAGTTTTTCAGTTATTCATCGATTTTTCAGGATTTTGATTTCTCAATTTTCCGATGTTTCAGTTTTACGATTTTTCGATTTTTTAATTTACTGATTTTAAAATTTTCTAAATTATTTTATTTTAAATTATTCATCGATTTTTCAGGATTTTGATTTCTCAATTTTCCGATGTTTCAGTTTTACGATTTTTCGATTCTTCGATTTATTGATTTCCAAATTTTTTAAATTTCGATTTTTGATCCTAAATTTTCAATTTATCGATTTTTCGACATTTTGACCTCTCGAACTTGTGCTTTTTCAGTTTCTCAATGATTCAATTTATCGATTTTTCAATTTTTGGATTTTTTAGGACTTTGATTTCTCAATTTTCCGACGTTTCAGTTTTACGGTTTTTCGATTCTTCGACATCTTGACTTCTCGAACTTGTAATTTTTCAGTTTTTCAATTATTCAATTTTTCGATTTTCCAATTTTTGGATTTTTCCATTTCTCGACTTCTATTTTTCGAGTTTCCGATTTCTTAATTTTTCGATGGTTCAGTTTTGGGATCTTTCAATTTTTCCATTCTTCAAGTTTTCTTGGATTTTCCAAATTTTCGAAATTTCGATTCTTCAATTATTCGATTTCTAGATTTTTCAAGTTTTCAAAATTTTATATTTTTCGAATTCTCAATTTTTCAGTTTTTTGATGTTCGACTTTTTGGTCTTGGATTTTTCGGTTTTTCAATTTATCTCTTTAAAATTTCGATATCACAATTTCACGATAATTTTTTTTTGGTTTTTCGAGTTTTTGATTTCCGGACTTCTCGATTTCTCGATTTTTCAAATTTTCGATTTTTTTTCAATTATAAATTTTTCAATGTTTAACTTTTCCATTTCGATTTCTCAATTTTCATATTTTTTACCTTCTCGACTTTTCGAGTTCTCGATATTTTGATGTTTCGTTTCTCGATGTTTCAGTATTTCAGTTTCCCAATTTTGCAATTTTTCAATTTTTTGATGTTTCGCTTTTCCGATTTCTCAATTTTTTGTCAATTCAGCATTGGAATTTTCGAATTTTTTGATTTTTCGTTTACTTTTTTTTAATTTTAAATTTTTCAATCTCTCAATTGCGAACTTTTCAATTTTGCGCTATTTCGGTTTTTTAATTTTTTTATTTTTTTGACTTTTCGATTTTCTTTTTTTTTTATTTTTACATTTTCGATTTTCCAATGTTTGCAATGTTAATTTTTTTATGTTTCGGATGCTCGATCCTTGGATTTTTCGGTTCTTCGCTTTTTCGAAAAGCATTGTTTCCGTCGGTTGTCTGCTTTAAAAGTATTTCATATTGTCAGCACTTTTCCGGACCCGTTAGGAAGCATTATTTACGCCACTGGTTTTGCGGGATTTGTCCGGCTGCACTTCAGGGGCGCGGGAAGTGTCGAAATAATAACCTTCGACCATTTTTTTTGTGTATGCAACCAACTGCACGTCATGTTGTTTGCATGTGCGATATTCGAGGTCTACACGGATGTGAGTTCGTATTTCACTGCTGACGTCGCCCCACAGGGTAAATTTTACGACTAAAACGACGAAACAATAACCACAACACCGGCTATATTTTGCACACTTCTCCACTCGTCTTGAATTTCTCGATATCCCGAAGAAGCTATTCCCCGCGTAACAAAATCCGCGCTACATTTCAAACAGAACAGACCCATTAAAAAATCACGACCCACATTTCAGCCCTCCTCAAATGTCAAGCCCTTGATTCTCCTTCTCCCACAACAGTCCCGTCGTTCTCCATCACAACGGCTAAAAATTGAACGACCCCGCTCAATTTCCTTCAACAATCCCATACGAGATAAATCTGGCGAGATTAGCGCAGCGCTTATCTCCTGATTAATTTCTAAATCCTCATTCAACTTTTTGCAATAACTCATCGCACAACTAAGCGTTAACAAATCCGCGTCCCACAATTTCTTTTACTCTCCAATCTAATTAAAGAGATCGAGAATCCCGATAACAATAAATCACTCGCATCCGCGCCGGTAGTTAATTATTAACTCCAGGTCGGCCGGCCAGGACGCACAGAAGCATAATCGGCGAAGACATTGTACAATTACGGCGACCGTTACCCAGAAATTAAAATTTCCGCCGGAGGCCGATAGAGACAATTGGAGACTTAGCTCTTGCGACGCAACATATGGCGAACAGTTACTATTACGTCGACGAATTTTTCCTTACTTTGATAGCAGTCTTATCGAGAAGCGCCTCGGTGGTGGTCGGTGAATTGCACGGGCTATGCGGAAGGCCTTCATCGTCTTCGCTGGTGTCGCCGCGACCCCGCCTCAATCTCAGCCTCTCACTCAGCTCAGTCTGAAAGAAAACAGAAAATGAGGTAAGGACAGCGAAATGTCACTCTTTCGCGGGGTTGAAGGCGAACGCAATTACGTAGTCGAGCAACGTGCCGCTCGGTCCACAGGTGGATTGTGGCTCAGAAATCGACACTGAGTCACGTCTGCCACCCACAAGATGGTTCCATGAATAAGCCGTCACTGATCACACGTTACGAAAGCGTTTTTGTCGCTGAGGCGATTCGGACTGGGACCGGCCCGAGGGGCTCCAGGTGACACGGGTTTCCGGAATAAATTGCAGTGGACGGTCACACTCAGGCTTAATTTAGTCAGACAGGTCGAATTTAGTCACCGAAAACGCAAACATTGTTGCTAAACAGTTCCAAGAATCGTTTATAATAATAAAGTTGTTTGTTACAACGCAATATCGCATCAACCATTTTCAAAATTCAACGAAATATATTTTCTCATAGATTTCTACCTCCAGAAGTTACTTTCGATCCAATTTCTTTGATAAGTTCGACCATTTTCCCAGAGTAGCCAATTGAATGGTGGAATTTTTTAGAATTTTTCAAAAAAATTTGATTTCAAATCAAATATTTCCTAAATGTTGCACCTGGAACTTTAAATGCGCTATAATTTGAAATTAGTGTGTCGAAATTTGCATATCTGAATTTTCTAATATCTAATTTTTCAGCAACTTTTGAAAATTTTAGCCCCCTTTTGACCATTTTCGAAATTCAGCCAAATACATTTTCCTGCAGATTGATACTTTGGCCAATTGAAATGTGGCAATTTTTAACATTGTCCAAAAAAATTGGATTTCAAACCGAATATTTCTAAAATTTTCCCTGGAACCATAAACAGGCTATGTTTTTGAAACTAAAGCACCGAAGTCTATATCCCTGAAGTTTTTGGATTTTTTTTGGCAACTTTTTCAAAACTAAAATTTTTCGGAATGAAAATTTCGGCCCATTGTAAATTTCGACCTCTAGAAGTTACGTTCGGTCCCATTTCTTTGATAACTCGAAAAAAAATTGATTTCACAGAGAATATTTCTAAAATCTTAACCCGGAGCCAGAAGCATGCTGCATTTTTGAAATCATCTACATTCCTGAATTTTTTGGGATTGTTTCGGCAAGTTTTTGAAAAGCAAAATTTCTCCACGTTCGAATTTCATTGGTTTATTTTATTTACTGCGAGATGAAGACTGAATTTGAAGTTTTCTTCTCGATTACTCATTTTATTGGACGAAAAGTGGATTTTATATCGATAAATATTGGAATCTCAGTAAAAAAGGTAAAACTACCACCTACCTCCAGATTTGAATTTCATTGGCTTATTGTATTGGACGAAAAGTGGATTTTATATTGGTATCTAGTAGAATTTAAACAAAAAAATTAAAACTAATCCCACCCACCTAAACTTTTGAATTTTATTGGTTTATTTTATTGGACGAAAAGTGGATTTTATGTTGATAACTAAAAAACTTTTGAATTTCATTGGTTTATTTATTTACTGTGAGATGATGATCGAATTCTATTTTGTCAAGTCTTCGAATATACGATTAAGAAAAACTTCACTGGCCCCGCCCACCCACCCGATAGTGACAAAAACGGTAAACTTATTCCAGCCGCTTCCACATTTGAACTTCATTACCTTATTTTATTTATTGCGAGATGATTGAATTTAATTCGTCAAGTGTTCAAACTACGATAAAAAATACTTCCTATGCCCCGCCCACCCACCCCGTTTTCTTCTCGATTACTCATTTTATTGGACGAAAAGTGAATTTTATATCGATAAATATTGGAATCTCAGCAAAAAAGGTAAAACTAAGCCCACCTACCTCTCCATATGAATTTCATTGGTTTATTGTATTGGACGAAAAGTGGATTTTATATTGATAATGATAACTAGTGAAATCTAAACAAAAAAATTAAAACTATTCACACCCACCTAAACTTTTGAATTTTATTGGTTTATTTTATTTACTGTGAGATGAAGATTGAATTTAATTTGTCAAGTGTTCGAATCAACCATAAAAAATACTTCGTATGGCCCCGCCCACCCACCTGGTTTTCTTCTCGATTACTCATTTTATTGGACGAAAATTGGACTTTATATTGATAACTAAAATACTTTCGAATTTCATTGGTTTATTTTATTTACTGTGAGATGAATATTGAATTTAATTTGTCAAGTGATCGAATCTAGGATAAAAAATACTTCATAGGGCCCCGCCCACCCACCCCGTTTTCTTTTCGATCACTCATTTTATTGGACGAAAAGTGGATTTTACACTGATAAATCATTGGAATCTCAATGAAAAAGGTAAAATTAATCCCACCCACCTCCAGATTTTGAATTTCGTTGGTTTATTTTATTGGACGAAAAGTGGATTTTATATTTACTACTAGTGGAATCTAAACAAAAAAGTGAAACTAATTCCAAACACCTAAACTTTTGAATTTCATTGGTTTATTTTATTTACAGTGAGATGAAGATTGAATTTAATTTGTCAAGTGTTCGAATCTACCATAAAAAATACTTCGTATGGCCCCGCCCACCCACCCCATTTTTTTCTTGATCGCTCATTTTACTGGACGAAAAGTGGATTTTACTCTGATAAATAGTGCAATCTAAACAAAAAAGGTAAAATTAATTCCACCCACCTCCACTTTTGAATTTCATTGGTTTATTTCTTTTACTGTGAGATCAAGATTGAATTTAATTTGTCAAGTGTTCGAATCTACGATTGAAAAAAATACTTCATATGGCCCCGCCCACCCACCCGGTTTTCTTTTCGATTACTCATTTTATTGGACGAAAAGTGAATTTTATATTGATAACTAGTGTTCATGTAGAATTCTTTTGACAAAAAATGGAATTTTGGAAACATTAAGCACGCCAAAAAACGTGTAATGTGTAAATTTCATATTTTATAAATCCCAGAAAATATTTTTTTTTAATTTTTGATTTTTCAATTTTTGATTAGACGTTTTTCGTATTTTCAGCTCTTGGCTTTTTCAATTTTTGATTTTTGAGCTTTTTAATTTTTCAATTTTACGATTTTGTCGTTTTTAATTTTTTCAATTTTTAAATTTAAATTTTTTCAATTGTTTGATTTTTAATTATGCGTTTAATTCGGACGAAACACATAGGTGTCATTCGAATGTTGACTGGGGATTTTTTAATAGCACCCATTTTCGAAATTTTAAAAATGACACAGTTTTTTGGTTTTACGATTTGGAAGTTTTTGAGTTTTGAATTTTAAGTTTTTCAAAATTTTGATTTTTCAAATTTTTAATTTACAATTTTTCGATTTTACAGTCAGCTCGATTTGTTAATTTCCAGATAGTTTGTTTATTTAGTTTTCGGATTTTCCAGTTTCTTGATTTATAAAAATTTCGATTTTCAAATTTTCCATTTGTAAATTTTTGTTTCTTCAATTTTTCGAATTTACAGTTTTCCGATTTTAGGTTTTCTAGTTTTCAATCTTTCATTTTTCAATTTTACAATTTTTGACAATTTTTATTCTTTGATTTTGTTATTTTTCGGTTTCCCAGATTTTTGATTGGCAATTTTTCGATATTTCAATTTTGCGCTTCTCAATTTTTCAATTTCTAGATATTTTAATTTTTTCTTATTTCAATTAATCGAGATTTCAATTTTTAGTTTAGCTTTTAAATTTTTCAAGTTCTCAATTGTTTAACGCTTCATTCTAATTTTTACTTTAATTCAAAAATAAAATTAATTAAAACTGAAATGTTCACGATTTTACAATTTTTGCAAAATGTCGAAATCTACATCGCTTAATTTTTTGGGATTTTTTCGGCAAGTTTTTGAAAAGCAAAATTTTTCCAATTTTGAATTTCATTGGCTTATTTTATTCGACGAAAAGTGGATTTTATATTGATAACTAGTGGAATCTAAACAAAAAAAGTAAAACTAATCCCACCCACCTAAACTTTTGGATTTCATTGGTTTATTTTATTTACTGTGAGATAAAGATTGAATTTAATTTGCTAAGTGTTCAAAGTGGCCCTGCCCACCCACCCGGTTTTCTTCTCGATGTATTGGATAACGAGTGGACAAAAAATGGAATTTTAGAAACATTAAGCAGGCCAGAAAACGTGTAATGTGTAATTTTTCTATCCCAGAAAAATTATTTTTTTTAATTTTTGATTTTTCAATTTGCTTTTTTTCAATTTTTCGATTTCAAGTTTTACGTATTTTCATCTTTTGGCATTTTCAATTTTTGATTTTTGAGCTTTTTAATTGTTCAGTTTTACGATTTTGTCGTTTTTAGTTTTTCAATTTTTATATTTAAATTTTTTGATTTTTAATTGAGGGCATGCATTAATTTCGACGAAACACATTGATGTCATTCGAATGTTGACTGAGGATTTTTTAATAGCACGAATTTTTAAAAATTACACAGTTTCTTGGTTTTACTATTTGCAAATTTTTGAATTTGGAATTTTAACTTTTTCAAAATTTTGATTTATGCACATTTTTCAACTTTTTAATTTACAATTTTTCGATTGTACAGTCAGCTCGATTTGTCAATTTCTAGATCGTTTGTTCAGTTTTCGGATTTTCCAGTTTCTTGATTTATAATATTTCGATTTTCAAATTTTCCATATGTGAATTTTTGTTTGTTCAATTTTTCGAATTTACATTTTCCGATTTTAGGTTTTTTAATTTTATATTTAAAGTTTTCTTAACTAATTAATTTTTAATTGCTTTCACCACGTTTATTTATACTGTGTTGACTTGTTTTTTTTAATAGCACCCATTTTTGAGTTTTAAAATTTTTTTTAGTTTTCCAATTTTGCAATTTCTGCATTTTCTTCCAATTGTTGTTAGATTGTACAATTTTTTTCATTTGCAATTTTTCGAATTTGTTTTAAGTTTTTCAAAGTTTCTATTTATAAACTTTTGAATTTTTCAATTTTTCGATTTTATGGTTACACAGATTTTTAACTTTTTCGATTCATTGTGTTTTACAGTTTGTCG